CATAGTTTATTTGGCTGGAAAGTGCAGCTTCAACATCTTTAAGACAACATCTGCCTTCCAGCCAAGTGTCAGAGAACAAAACATCTCCTGGTAAAACCGCCCTGAGCAGAATCCCCCGGGGGCTGTAGCCAGGCGAGGGACACTCAGTCTGAGCCTGGCTGAGCAGGGGGCCGGGGCAGGAAGGATACCCAGCGTTTGCACCTCATTGTTACTGGGATCAGATAAGGGAGGGGTGGCCGGGCTAACACAATGCAGATTCCTGCCGATAAGGAAGGGGAGGAGACTTCCAGAACAGATTAAAGATAGCACTAGGCTTTGAGGAAATCTCCCAGAGTTAGGACCCAAAACAGACCCACGAACTAAACCTGAGTTAAGCTAAGCCTGATCCTATGGAGCCACTGACACAGGCCCCCAGCACCAGAAAAAGCACCAGAAAAGCCCTATTGCCAATTCAGAAATCGGCTTCTCTCAGCTGCCAAAGAAAACCCAGTCCTGGAGACACTCACGTGAAGCACTTGAGCAAAGTGCAGAGAACTGGTGAGGCAAAAGGTCGGCCTGACCCGCACTGAACCTTCTCTCTCTCCAGACCCAAAGCACAGCTTGCTGAGGGACTGTCACAGCACACTTACTTGCAACTTCGTGGCTAAAGCAGCCCGGTAAAGACTACCGTGGTTTTACAAGAAGTGCCCTCAGAAGCAGCCCTCAGATTAAGGCCCATCTGACAAAGGGAACTCCAAGTTCTCTGCGAGAACATTCGCTCTGCACCCTTCAAGTTACTTGGTCTCCCCAGCAAGCCTGAACCCCAGGCACCTCTTACCATCCAGAACCTCATCTGGCTTCCTCCTCTTCTCATAGATGAAGATGATGGTGACAAGAACGAGGACTTCTGCCACAATGCCCAGGAAGGGCCAGAGTGCTGCCAGGCGGCTGCGCACACGCAGGTTCACCACCGCACCGCCAGAGCCAATCGCGTTGGTGCCGTTGCAGTGGTAGTCACCCATATCCTCCTCGATATTCAGCTTAAGAATGCGGAGCTCTGTCTTGTTGCCACTGGACTTCACGATGTATCGACCAGAGCCATTGATGATGGGCTGGAGGGAGGGAGACAGACAGACAGACAGCTCTCAGGGCAGTGGCTCACTTAGCACGCGCAGTCCCACCGCCACAGAAATCCTCCTTGCACGGAGGAGGCTACTTGGAATCGGCTAACTCTGATGGGACGAGGCCCTCTGCCTTTTTGCTGGGGTGAGGTTGGCAGAAGGGCAGAAAGAGCAAACCACAGCGCTCACCTCTCGGTTTTTGTACCAGGCCCAAGTGACAACGGGGGGGAAAGAGGGATTCTTGCAGGTCAGCACGCCTGTGTCCCCCTCATTCCCATGCTCAGACTTCTTGTACGCCACCACCTGGGGTAGAACTATGGCAAGAGAAACAGAAGATCAGGCACCTCGTTAGAGAGAACACACAGAAGATTTGGACTCCGGCAGTCCACCCAGCCAGAATCAAAGTTACCCACAAGAAACAGCCAGTGGATCTGTTCCTCTCCCTCGCCAATCGTCTGGCATTTTCAGAGAGGAAAGGATGTCAAGCTGCTTCGAGAAGGGCCCAGACAGATTTGTGCACCAGGTACTGGCCCTCTCCCGTTACTCTTGTGGGAACGTGCCCAGAGCAGAATCTGACACAACAGCACCAAAGCAGAGCTGACCCTACGGACCCTTCAGCTGCCTGATAAAACGGAGCTGCCTCACCGAGCAAGTCTGGCAGCAGTCGTGTAGAGTCCTGCAGCCTTATTATTACTACTAAGGGCCAGAAGCAGCTTTTCAAGAAGCTGAGAAGAAACCGAAGCAGCAGGTTCAGGAGGTCACAGCTCCCCCACACCCCTCCTCAGACCCAGAAACAAACATAGGAAGTTACCTTCAACATGCACTTCGCCTTTTATCTCTGGGATTGTTTTGTACACACACTCGTAGATGCCAGAGTGCTCTTCCTTCTTCCCCTCGATCCTACCCAAACAGAGGATTTCAGAGAGGCATTCAGCACAGCCAACTGACCCACAAACTCCAGTCCCATGCAAACAGACACCTGTGAGCATCAGCAACCTCCGCCACGGGCAATTTCTCCCACGCCCATTTCTGTGCCACCCCAGGTACCTACAACAACCCAGCTCTGCACCCTTCTGTCCCCAAACACCAAGGGTGGCAGAGGACAACACTGCACCACCAGACGCTGTGCCACGCTTCGGAAGTGGCCAACTCCGGGCTCCTCCCCCTTCCATACAGACGCCAGGCTCATTAAAGAAATTATAATCACGCCCTACTGAGCAAAGCCAACAGAATCTGGAGCGCGGTGAGAGTCCTCCAGCGAGCACAAGCCAGCACAAGCCAGCACACGGCCACACACCTCAGGTACAGCACGAGCCCCGCGGCTCACCTCTAAAGGAACTGGCCGAGGAGCCTGGGACAACAGATTCGGAGGAAGGCTGCTCTTCCCACACAGGGAAGCCCACTGGCAAAGCAGCAGCAAAGAAACGCCCAGGCCGGGTTACCCTGGACTGATCCAAGTGCTGGGAGAACTTCCCCATTTTCCTTTGTGCAAAGCTGCCGCAATGAGATTTAGCGGATTACACCGCTCTGCAACAAACATCTCATTCTGCAGCTTAGCAGTACCCACTCGAGGGAAGGGGAAGGCAAAGTTTCAGTCCCGTGGCTGCCCCGGGACAACAGGCTGTTTGTTAGTTCTGCTGTGTACGGCGCTTCCCACTTCCAAAAATCACTCGGCTAAGGAATTGAGGTCACGCGAGGGAGGCTGGGTTATAAATACTTTAATCCTTGTTCAGCTCCCTGTTGCTATGGGGAGACAGGCACGTCGGCACTGCCATACAAAGGGACATGATGCCGCTACAGCTGCTGGGTCGGTGCCAGCCGGGCCTGAGTGTAATCAAAAAGGAAAGCTCACTGCACTCTCACAATACGGCTGGTACCCCCGCTCCCGCTCAGCTGCGCCCTGCAAACCTCTCCCAAGCACTGGCCATAACCCGCGGGCAGCCTCCCAGCTCGCCCTGAGCAGTTGGACTTTGGAAAGGTACATAAAACCCAAAGGCAGGGACAACACGCCCCGGAGCCTCTCGTCCCACCCACGGCCTCTGGGGAGCAGGGAGCTGCCCTCCCGTCCGCAGCAGGGTCCCCTCAGAGCTCCGCCATCAGCCCGAGCGCACCGATGTTGGCTGGCG